CTTCTTGTACTGCAGGCCAAGTATTTTGATCAGCGCATTGATCTCCACATTTTCCGCCACCTTTATATGGGAGTAAAAAAGCATTCCGGTCACGTCAAGGCAAATTTTTCGCCAACCTGTTTGATGTTTCCTTCACGAACGTTAAGCAGTTTACCACGAAGGGGAAATACTCCGTAGCGATCACGGCCAACCACACCGAGACCCGAGACAGCCAACGTTTTGGCTGAATCTCCCTCAGTAAGGATCAGAGTACAGAGCTGAGAATTCTTGGTACCAGCGTCGTTAGCATCTTCCAATTTGGGGATACCCTGGAACCACTCACAAATGATTGCGTCAAAATAGGAAGGCCGTCGGATATGTAAGCAGGCTGATCTACCTTTAACTTCGTGGTTTTCTTTGAACTGCACTTCCTGTTCATATCTTCTTGCTGCTTGAACCTTACCCAGGCAAGCACAGCGTCCACGACACCACAGCTTATTGCCTGAAATCCGCATTAAAAACCAGAGTGTTGGAAAATTATTCGAAAGCAAATACAGGGCTTGGCAGTATTGTAGAAGGTGCAAAATGCCCCTCCAACCATACTGCCAAGCCTTGCTCTGGTTGCAAGATTACCTGTTTGGAGAACTTCTCACTGAGCTCGCACTTCGAACCAAACGACTTCGCCTGTAGAGTCATAGTCTCCTTTGTTTGCGAGTCAAAAGTAGGATTCTCGATCAAGCAGTTCACAAACACCCACATGTGATTTTTAACCTGAATGAATGGAAATCATTGATAACATCCCTGGAAAATCACATGGGAACAGTAGAATCTTACTTGGAATGGCTTGACGTTCACTGTGCTCTTGCCCAACTTTCTTTTTGATGACATCGATTAATTTCGAGACCATCTGATCCGCTACGTAATCAACATGGCGGCCACCCTGAAGTCAATCGAGCTTATACTGAATGTGCAAGAGTTCTGTGGCAACTGAGGCATGGGTTTACGTAATAAGGTTGCAAGTCAAACAAAAACTACATTCGTGGTTGCGATACTGTTGACAAACGACACTTGTTGGAATCCCTTTTCAGAAACAGTTAGAGCGACCTCCCAACGTTCGTTGACCTTAAGGGAACATTCAAATGTATACACCTACTCAACAATGCACTTAAGGAAAGACACACTTTGGAAATCTCCAAAGTGAAGTCCCGCCTGAAGAGCGTTCCAAAGATGCAAAATGAATTGATACTTTCAAAGTCTACTTCACTGAATAACTTACCGCTTCATAAACAACTTTTGCTGGCTCGCCTGTAGGGCCAGTGATATCCTTTGTGTATTGCTCCACGTACTGTTTGAAGCCTTGCACCTAAATTTTACATGCTATTAATATGAAAAATTTGAAGTCATCGCCACAATGAAACCATCGCCTTACCGGTAAGGCCTTCCCATTGAGAAACACTTTTACGCCTTTAGTACTACCAGCAATATCGTAAGCACGACGAGACATCAAACCGATGATATCGTCGTCCAGTTCCGACATTTTGAACTTTTTCAAGTCCGGTTTAAATGTGATCTGAAAACCGAGACGTGCTGTTTTCATATAATAAAACAACCTCTTTAGAAGCTTGACCTCACCTTTGTGTAGTCATCGCCCGTAGCCTTTACAATCTGAGGCTCTTTGTCTTTGGTCATGTTGTTGATCCATGTCTGCAAAACTCGTAGAAATAGGTAGAAATAAGGAGGGGTATCTCAAAGCGATCACCTGCTTGAAGGCTTTCCCGTACTCTTTTGATGAGGTTTCAAGAGTAAATTCAGTTGAGAATATGTTGCAAAGCTTGGCTCCGTATCCATTACGACCACCAGTAACCTAGAAAATGAGCGGTTCCCCATCCAACGAAAAACTGCGAAGTATAATACTATGGCGAAGCCTATAGCGATTTCAAAACGCACTTTTCTCTCACTGTCGTCGTAATTCGAAGACGTCAGCAGTGTTCCGAAGATCATTTCTGGTACGTACATATTCTCCACTTGTGGTGCACAACGGGTATTCCTTTGCCGTTATTGAAAATAGAAACTTGATTCTTTGCCCTGAAAGCAGATGGAACGGTTCCATTACTTACGGAGTCAAACAGTGAATAACTACATCTCACAGGGTGTGCACCCCATATCGCGGAGA